TCCATCTTGCCATGGATTGCTGCTGGGCCTGCCAGACCTTAATAGTTGGTGGGTTTGATACAAACCAGCTCATGATGGGTGTCTCTGGCCACAAAGTCTGTTGATGTTCCATGGTCAGACTTAAGTTTTTACTGAAACCCAGTTAGCAACACATCAGCTATTTTTCAAATGGTGAATGATTCTCCGCTACAAATAGCATAGCCTAGCTCCAGAACCCTGGGAGTTTATGTTGGAATTTTCCCATTGGGTCTTGGCATAAGCCCCTGTAAGACTGTAAAACATATATTTGGTTTTCACCCAATTTCCTGGCATACAACTCCTCAAATCCTTAGAATCTCTAAAGTGATGTCTTTTTGTATGCTAATAACTGACTGATGGAAAGCAGTCCCTAGGTAGCTTAAGGATAGGGGCTGGTCACTGGAAAGACCAAGGCTTGATTAGAGGGTGGGGACTTTCAGCCCACTCTCAACCACTGGGAAAGAAAAAGGGACAGAAGGTTAAGTTGATTACCAATGGCCAATGATGTAATCAATCAATCCTGTGTAATGAAGCCTCATAAAAACTCAAAAGGGCATGTTTCAAAAAGCTTTCAAACAGCTGAGCCCATGGAGGTTCTTAGAGGATGGCACACCCAGCAGGGGAGGCATGGAAGCTCCGTGACCCTTCCCCCATACCTAACCATATGCATCTTTTCAATTGTATCCTCTGTAATATCCTTTATAATAGATTGGTGAATGTAAGCAGGTGTTTCCCCGAGTTTCAGGAACTGTTCTAGCAAATTAATCTAACCCAAGGAGGGGAGTGTGGGATCCCTGATTTACAGCCAGTTAGTCAGAAGCATAGGTCTAACAACCTGGAGCTTGAGATTGCTGTCTTAAGGCTGCATGGAGTGGGGTGACGGGTGGCAGTCTTGGGCATTGACTCCTTCACCTGTGGGATCTGATGCTGTATCTAAGCAGACAGAGTAAGAACAGAACTGAATTAGAGGACACCTAAAGGGTGCCTGCTGCAGAATTGATTGCTTGCTTGTTGGTGGAGAGAAATTCCCAAACATTTGGTCACAGACGTGTTCTATGTTGGTTGTTATTGCTGACTGAGAGAATAAATACTTGTGTGTTTTAGTCCACTCACATTCCCACACAGCATCTTCCCAAATCAGAGACCTCTCTAATAGCATAGAATTTGCTGATTCACATGGTTCAAGCAGAAGGAATATTTGTACCCAGTCTGGACCTACTGCAGTGCTTTTTACTTTGGTGGGCCCCATGCAAAGCTGGAAGCCTTCCTTGCCACCCAGTAAATGTGCTGGAGCAGTATTACTATGTGTGGAATATGAGTCTTCCAAAACCAAAGAGAATACATAGCACCGTGCTTTCTTCTTAGTGGTAGAAAGCTTGAGATGCAGTAATGTGTTCTTTATTTTGGAGGGGATGTCGTATAATACCCTAGACCCTGGATCAGCAAACTTTTCCTACAAAGGGTCAAAGAGCAAGTATTTTAGACTTTGTGGACCAAATTGTCTTTGTTTCAACTGCTAACTCTGCCATTATAACATAAAAACAACCACAGACAATATATAAGCAAATAAGTATGGCTGTGTTCCAATAAAACTTTATTTACAAAAACAAGTGGTGGGACAGATTTCACCAATCCCTGTCCTCGCCCACCAGACTGCTAGAAATATCACTAATGTAGTGGGACTTTGATCAGCTTATCTACCATTCTTCAGAGTATAAGTGTCACTTCTTGGTCATCCAGTCCAATTAATATGATCTCATGGGTTTAATGGACAAATGTGATGTCCTGTGGAATGTCCTGATAGTCCTGGTCCCATATACAAAGGCTAGAAAATTTAATGTCATCCTGGGGCAAGACCATAAATGTACACAACTGTCCATTCATGTGAGTGGAAACTGCTTCTCTTCTTGCTTCTTGATTTGAAAATTGGATGAGTTTGATCCAGCACCCATGTATAATATTCCAGCTTTTACATATATTGGCTGGGCCTTTGCCACTCTTTTGGCCTGTGGTCTCCTTCCTTCCTTAGCAAGCCCATCATGTTTCTGGCTGGTGTACAGTTTGACTTACTCTATTTATAGATCTGGTGGTCAGGAGGTGGGGATAGATCCCAAGGGGGCATGTGTTTCTTTGTAGACAGAAGCTTCTGCATTGTCTTCAAGCAAGAGGGGCACTGCTAGCTTTTAACAGGGAGAAACAGGCCAGTACTGCAGGCCAGAAAATTCAGGGAAAGCTGAGGATGCAAGATTTCAAGTGCATCAGTCAGGACCCTGACCTTAGTGTGACAGAGCTATTAAGGGTGGAGAATTCAATTTTCCTTGGAGCTCTGCTATTCTTATAATTAAGACCTGGATCTGAGCCTAGGCTTTTTCTGCTATCTAGACGTATACTGTCTACATGTGTTGCCAAGGAGGCCCTCTTGCATTCATGCTCTACTTTATATTAATCATCCTCTACTTTTCATTGCCTTTCTTAATGTATTAATGGTCCCCAGTGACAACCATCCAAATTCCAAAGTGCTTATAATAACCATTTCCCTCACACCTCTCAAGCATTTGAGACTTTTGCCCCTGCCAGTGTATTCCTTTCTCCAGTATCTTATCCCAATTCACCTCTGCAGACAGTTTCAACAATTACGTGGTTGCAGCATTACAAAGGCTCACTGCCAGTGAGCCAGTGGGTGATCCAGCTCCAAAAGCCCGTTTTAGAGTCTCCTTCCCGGAACCACTCCTGGTATCAGAGTCAGCTTCCCCGTGAAAAATGCAGGAAGACTCTGAGGTTGTCATGCAGAGGCACCACAGCATCTTTAACAAGAGCTTTATCCCCCATTTTATGGCCACAGAGAAAACATGGTGATATATTGAGGATAGCAGGGTGAAGGGTGGAACAAGCCTGAGGCCTGATGCCATCACAGAATTGGCAATTCCATCCTGTGATAGCCTATTTCTTAAGCTTCTTAAGCAAGCACAATGTCCTTTCTGTTTAAGACATTCTTAGGTATTCAGTTACTTGCTGCCAAAGGCATTCTAGCTCATGCATGATCTCAGTTAATGCTTGGTTACCCTGTGCACTGTGAGATAGGTGTTATTATTATTCCCATTTCTTAAACAAGAGAGCTTAAGCTTAGAGAGTACTTGTTCAAGGTCACACAGCTAGAAATTGGTGAGGCCCAGTCTAAACCTTAGCACTGTCTGCATCCCAAGTCCATGCTCTTTAACCTTTTATAAGCATCTGTGAGACAATCAATCAAACTGGGAGGGGGATGGTCTATCTCCCAGATTTGAAGAAGACAGTAGTTTATGTATAGCTAAGATCCACATACACCAGAAGAGCTACCCGTAAGAAGCTCACTGACACCTTACTTGGTGTATTGGGTTGAATACACCAAGTATTGGTGTATTACAATGGGTTGGATACACAAGTATTGGCCCTCAAAACAGAAGTCCATGTCTTCATTGTCAGAACTTGCAAACTTGACCTTATGTGGAACAAAGATCTTTGCAGATGTCATTAAGGATCTTGAGATGAAGAGATCACCTTGGGTTATCCAGGTGGGCCCCAAATCCAGTGACAAGTGTCCTTATAAGAGTCATACAGCGAAGACCTGACAGACAGAAGGAGGAAGAGGCAATGTGGCCGTGACGGCAGAGACTAGAGTGATGCAGCTGTAAGTCAAGGAACCCCTGAAGGCATGAGAAGCTGGAGGAGGGAAAACAGAATCTCCCCTGGAGGCTCTGGAGGTGGCACGACACTGCACACACCTTGACTTTGGACTCCGGACTGCAGAACTCTGAGGGAATAAATCTCTATTGTTTTGTACCACCAAGTTCGTGGTAATTTGTTATGGCAGCCTCAGGAAACTAACACACCTGGGATCCTTGTCTTTTTTTCTGGCTAGTTTTTTTTACTTTTTATTTATTTTTTTTTATGTAAAGGGAGTAGTATACCTTCTAAGTTTGGTTGAATATATTCCTCATGTGGCAAATTTCTGTTGGAATCCTTTATATTTTAAAGATAATGTGTGAACTACTTCCTTAGCAGAGGTGGAGGCACCTGTAGAGACATGAATGAGCATTTTTCTGGGAAGAAGGTCCAGAGACATTATATTCTCAACAGGGTCTTGATAAGCTCCAAAAAATTAAGAATTTCTGAGAGGGAGCCTGGGCAAATGGAAGAATGAGAGGTAGCTGAGCTCTAAGAGAGAAGAGTGCTAAGACTGTGAAAAATACAGAGATGAAGTTTCAAGTATGTGGAAGCCAGAAGGGTCCTGTATGTCTGGTTAGAAGGCTTCAAGTCTCTCTCTTTGGGAAGAAGTTTTGGCTTCCACATGGACGCCGGCAGGAAAGCAGACGTTGTAAAGGTCTAGCAAAGGTGACTGCAAAAGGCCAACTCCACGCAGCTCAGAGTCTAGAGGAGAGGAAATGCTCTTTCTGGACAAAGTATAAAGAGGTTATGAAAAAGTTCAAATTTCTCTAGTTAAAATCTGCAGGTGATTGAAGAAGGTAAATTCTGTTTCAATGACAAATCAGTAAAATGCTGTCTCAACAGACTTATTATGTTTCTATATTGGGGTAAAAAGAAGAGAAGATAACATTGGTTTCTAAAAATAAGGAATGGCATGAACTTAAGTCTGACTCTAAAAAGGAAAAGGAAAACGAATGAGATATATTTTCTGAGTCTGTCACTATGAAAATTATGAGATGAAATTGAAAGAATATGGAACAAATTTTAGGCAGAATCTTGGCTGCCAAAACCACAAGCCCCACATGACAGCCTGCTCCATTGAATGCCATGGAAACGGCCTCCCGGTAGCACGTGGGCTTGGAACCACCTGCACGATTCCTCCATGAAAACACTTGAGATAGGGTTGGGGTAAGCAGAGAGCGAGCGAGAGCGAGAGCGAGAGTGAGAGCGAGAGCAAGAGAGAGAGAGAGAGAATGAGTTGTAAGGGCAGCTCCACTTCTCAGAGAACTGGAACTGAACCCCTGGAGCCTTCCTAGCAAAATTATGAAGTGTTTTTTAAAACAAATTACCTCACAGGTGTTTACAGTTCAAGTCTGCCTGCCCGTCTGCCAAACTGAAAGGAACAGGTGAAACCCAAACCTGGTTTTCAGCACCATCATTCACAATTCTAACAGGGAAACATCCTTCACAACACAGGAACTTGCTCCTTGAAAATTTCAAATGCTACAGGCTTTCCTGCCACATACCTGGGATATAATATCCAATACCTCATTTGCAATCTATTGCACTAAATGTGCTAAGAGCTCAGGAGAAGCAAAATGCACCTATATACAAATGGGCCACAATTTCTGTCTAAAGATGCCGCTCTAACATGGGTTTCTCTGAAGCAAAGCCAGTGTTCCTAAAACGTACAAGAATATGAGAACATCAAGTAAGAAAGGTCTAATTAAGTTGGGGTTTTTGTTTTGTTTTGTTTTTTGTTTTTGAAAAGTCATGTTAGTCTCTTTCCTCTTGGAACAGAATTAACAAATTCGCAGAGGAATAAAATGTACAGTCATTTGGCCAGGTAAGTTACATGATGTAGAAGCACATTTTGTGACATGAGTATTCAGTATAGCACAACACTTTCCTCATCAAATGATTTCATTGTTCTTATCCCACGTTAATTTCCACGCAGGCACTCGCTTGTGAATGGCCTCCAGCATCTTGCAGGGTTTGCTGCTCTCAACACCTCCCATCTCTTGCCTGACCTAGAGGCCAATGATGGCTTTTCTATGTGGTCCTAATAACAAATGAAAAGGCAGCGCATTTATTACATTCAACAAACATGTATATATAAATGTCTATGTGTCAGGACAAATACTACCATAGCACTTGACAAGCATTAACCCATTTAATCCTCAAAAGACCTGTGAGGTAGATTCTCTTTTCACTTCCATTTTACAGATGAGGCAACTTGTCTTAAGACTTACTGAGAGGTGGAGCCAGGATTTAAATGAGTTTGTGCAATCAACCACTATACGATGCAACCTTAAGTAGTGGTATTATAAACATGAATGAAGCTGTATTAACAAATAATACTAAGGGCTCATATGTACACATTTCTTAAAAATGGAGATTTTATTTTATTTTTTTAAATAATGATTTTTTTAATGGAAAAGGTTATCTAGAATGTTCATGTGGACAGGTTTCCATCATGGGTTTCTAAAGTTATAATTTGTGAAGCTTTATTATATGTATACAGTGGTAGTGTTAGTCAATTGATATAGTCAGCCCTCAAATCTGTATGCATCTTTAAATCATCAACTATATTTGTTTCTCTGATTGTAAAAGAAATAATTGTTCATATTTGGAAGACTCAGAAAGGTACATAAAAAACACTCATAATCCCATCGTCCCGAAATCATCATTGCTGATATTTTCACTTATATACTCTCTAGTCTTCTTTCTATGCGTGCATCTACCCATCTGTATATTGGCTTAACATTGATTAAATGTGACATTTCGTGCACATAAGGGATGTATTATTCAAAGAAAAACAATTTATACTCTTTCTCAGTACCCTTATATGTACTAAATATTATCTAAGGATTGAAAAAGTTTAAAATCAATACATTAAGATCACAGAAGCACTATTAGAGTGGAAATAAATCATCAGTGATATGCTAGAGCATTCTTAAAATCCAAATATTCAGTCAAATGAAGTAACAAGGGTGATATTTTTCAATATAATTTTATTTCCTTTTCTGCATTACTTAGGAGCATCAGTAGGATGAAAACGATATTTGTTTTTTAAAGCTGTACACAAATTAATTGATGTGACACACCCAGTAATTCATGATTATCTTCTTAATGAATTGATTCTAAAGCTTCTCGAAGCTAGGAAGGCATAAGACAACCAAAAAGAAATACTGATGTATAACTGTTGTAATACTGCTCAGCATTTTAAAAGTAAACTCTAGCCATAAAGCATGTTATAATTACTAATAAGGTAATCCACAGAATGCCTTGCTGAGCTAGGTGTAGAAGAAATAAATTGGTTCGCATTGGAGGAAAGTGAACACTACAAATCAATATACAGTGTGAAATTTTGCATGGCTACGTGCTATAATCTCCAGCATCACAAATGACATAAGGAATTCCTCAGCTGAGAGTGGACTCCTATTGGTGGCCACAATGTCACAGTCTTGAAGACAACTTCCTCTTGACTGTACCAGTAATTTTGCCATATGGATTGTCTAATGGCAGCAAGACCTGTAGAAAAACTACATGGTAACTTAAGAGACATTAAAATAGTTCTCTCCTCCTTTCTAAGAATCAATTATTAAAATAACAAAAACAACAACTTGCTAAACAGGAAAATCTGTATGTCCTCCAGTAAAGATACTTCAAGCATGGTAATGCCTTATTATTCTGGCAATAGTTGAGAGATGAGTCAATTTTCTAGAAAATTTAAAAGGTTTTGAAAAATGTTACTCATCAAGATAGAAATATTTCTAAAATGCATTCCGTATCTCTGCTTTTTAAATGCAATGTATTGAACACAATTGACCTTTTCTTGGTGACTCACTTTGGCCATGAGTCATTGGCCAGTGCTGTAGGATCACCATGCCCTCAGACGTGTCTGGGGTCTGCAAGGCTGTTCACTGAATTCTAAATGGCTCCAGACAGCCGTGCTTTTAGAGCTCTTCCACCTTCCCGCCCTGTCATTTGTCACTTCTCTGCTGGTTCCAATGTGTCCCACTTCCTGTTTCTCATATGCTATGTTCACCTTGTACACACCTGCTGGGTGAGAGTCCAAGAGTGGCCCCAGCCATTCTCAAAGTACAGACACAAGGACAGCTTGTTCAGTCACTCAGGTGCCTTTTTATGCAGAGACCTGATCCAAAGGAACTCAGGCCTTCCTGCCTTCAAGTCCCCAGCTGGGCTCCATGAGGGAGCCGTGAATCTGACTTCCTAGAGGGAAGAACCCTGTGGCTGCAGCCTGCCAGCACGCTGGGACTAGTGCAAACCTGAGGTGTGAGGGGGCCTCCGGAGACCTCCTCTCTCTGCCTGGGGTCCTGAGCTAAGCACTACTCCAGCCATGGCACCTGACCCTTTTTTCTGGTTAGGGTCTGTTTGTTTTGCCTCTGATGGACTTAGCCAGGATACTTTCAGGTCCCTCTTCTGCCCTTTAGAAGGCTTTAAAAGGCTTTATGTTCTAATTAATGACATTCTAGTAGCCATATCCTTCCCTTCCTCTAAAGTAAATAGTGCTGCCTCTCCTTGTGGCTGGATGAACAGCATATGGGACCAAGGTTGCTCTCCTAAGCAACTCAGAACTCTAGATCACCTATGCTGGGTACCTAAGTATGACTTTTGTTTCCAGATGTGACTCCCCAGCCTCCACCTGCAGCTGATGGTGGTCAAAGCCTGCCAGAGGCCACCCACATTACTTGCAAAACAGAAAGGAGGTACCTGGCCTGAAGGATTGTGAGGCTCCTGGGGTACCAGGTGCAGAATGTGGGACTTTCTGAAGACCCATTCATTAGCCTTTATCCACCAAAGGATATGAGTCTATGGGAGCAGAGGATGCTAATAGATAGATCCTTCCCTATCTCGGTCCCCAACACATACTGAAAGAAGATATTCAATATAATGTTTTCTAGAGTATAGAAGTGTGTGGGAAGCTGAAGCAAACCGAGAAATCTTATCATTTTGAATGTAGTCCAAGAGGGAAGAATGATTCTGATCTCCCAAGAACTGACCACACCAGGCCACCAGTAAGGATTTTAGGCTGTCTAGTCAGACATGATGAGTGGTTTAACCTTCTGCCATGGTTTAAAAAAACAGTTAGGAGAAATGCTTTTTCCAAGACAAACTGTTCTTTTCAAAAAATTAATTTCCTTGTTTTACCTTCTGTAATTGCAATTAGAAACAAAAATACTCTTTCATCTTTTCCTGTGTATATTTCATGCCACTGAATTGACTACTTAATCAAAAGGTAGGAATGATGGAAGAAAATAAAAATAGAATCTTCTTTTTCTCCTCATTGCCTCATGATGGAAGAATAATGAAGTTGTGAGGCGCTTTTCTGAGAAGCAGATCTCAGAGCCGTTTCTTTGGGCACACACTGTTCCTTCTGTGTCTTTTCCTCTCTACAGCTTCCAACCTTATATAAGCATTCATCTACTTCAAGGGCACTCCAACCTCAGGCAATGAAAGTCCCAGAACTGAAGAGGGCTCTAGTCACTGGCAACTATAAATATTCCCCAAAGCAACAGTTGCTAAGAGTTTTTTTCAGTGACATTATCATCCCAGGTTTGTAAAAGGGAGGCAGAAGTGGGTGGGTCAGATATGTGCTTTAAATATATTTAAAGTTCTCTTACCTCTTCCTTGTTGATCAGACCCATTTTGGACATATCTATGTTGAAGTAGTGAATGTTTGGCAGGCTGATCTCCATATCGTCTATCTGGAAGCCACAGTGGTATGCATCACATCAGGAGTTGCAAGCCTCCATGTCTGTCGCTCCAGCCTCCCTCGCCCTCCCCTACCCTTGTGCCTATTACTCAGGTTCTCTCTCCGATTTGGAGACACCCGCTGATGTTCCTCCACTGCTCGACACTGTTCTTTCCTGCTAGCTCTGTGATTAGATGGTGGACTTACTCTTCTCCCCCTCAGTGTACAAAATGTGTTTTTCTGAAAAGAAAGGGCTCCTTGAGTCAGAAATCTGAGAGACCTCTTTGACATCCAACTGGCCTCCAGTTACTAGCCAGTCAACTTGCTAAATTCCTCCTCATTCCACTCCCTCCTTTCCAGGCCAGCACCTAACATTTACAGGCCTTGCAGTAATAATTGGAGATCCACATACCAAATGTATAAAGATTTTAAACTTACATAAATCAGGCTAAAATTTTTTAAGTGATATGTTTTACTCCTCTAACTTGACAAATATACCCTTCATAACAACCTGGAAAGCCAGGTATTAATTTAAAATTCTCTGACTCGTTGGAGTACCATGCCAGAGCATGGCAGCATGGGAAGAGCCAGACCCTCGCCTAGGCCCATCCCACCGTCTCTCTTGGACTCACATGGGTAGACACTCCAGCTTGCATGTTGAGCACCACCCATACCTCCTGCAAACATCTGCTTCTTTGCCTACTCTCAGGCCTAAAAGTGAACACCAATAGCATGATCCGCCCTCTGGAAGACAGACCTCAAGAAGCCATTTGCCCAGGTTCCAGAAGTAGTCTCAGGGCTATTTGGACAGGAAATTCTGGAGAATGCATGGGCCTCTGCAGGGTATGTTGCTGTGGCCCCACTGACTCTTCACCCAATGGAGGGAGGCCTAGCCAGAGGAAGGTCTGAAGAGGGCCTCTGAAGTGCTGAGCCATGGCCGGAGTCCCACTTGCCCAGGTCTAAGGGTGGTATTCCTCCCTTCCAGCCCCACCATGGCCCAGACTCTCCTTGCAAGACTCTGAAATAGATCCCAACGTATCTCCTTGCCTGTGGTCCATCAGCCTTTTAATTCATCACATTTCTGTAGGAGTGATTTTTCTAGAGTCCAAATCTGGCACAAAACATCCTGCTTAAACCCCTCAGTGGCTCCCAGAAGCCTTCAGGATAAGGTACAGACTCTATAAATAAGCCTGCAAAGGCCCTCTTGACTGGCTGCTGTGGCTCCTGCCTCATCTCTAGGCACATGGAAAGACTATAATTCATTCAAATATATTCATTCACATGTGGTAGACCCAACAGTAAATGACTGTATCATGCTATCTCTTGTCTCCATACCTATCCTGCTGCCTCAACCTTGAGAGTAAACCCAGATAACCTCTAGACTCAAATAAAACACCCTTCCCTCTAGAAAACCTGGCTGAACCCATCTCCCATACCTGAGTTAGGTGCTTTGCTCTGTACTTTCATAATACTCTTTTCTCTATTGTATTGTTAGTTTACTTATTTCGTTTGTTCACTGAACGATGAGCTCTTTGAAGGTAGTGACTATGTCTAATTTATCTTTGTATCCTTTGTGTGCTGCCAGAGACATAATCACCATTCAGTAAATGGATGAATGAATGGGTGGGGAAGTGGGTGTATGGACAGATGGATAGATGGATGGATGGATGGATGAAATCTCTCTACATCTATCTTTCATTCTCTGGTTCTCCTGAAACACAGAACCTTTGTATAATTACCCCTCTCCCTCAAGGCATTCAAGTGTCCTCAATATGAGGCTTAAATCAGTGGCAGGTTGAAGGGACTCAAAGAATTTTCAGCAAAACTCAAGGACTACAACAGTGGCTTGTGTTTTCAGGTTAGACAGATTTTTCCATTTTGTGCTCTCTTCTCACTTGCTATAACAAGCTTTTGAACAACAACAGATGTCATTTTTCATGTGTCTTCCACTTTCTTATTTTAACTCTCAATTCTTTCTCAGAGCCGACAGGAGACACACATTCTCCCAATCCTCAGAATTGCAACTGACACAACATACCTCAGGAACTCGACTCAGGGAGAGCACCTGGATATCATAGAGGGTCTTCTGCACAGAGGGTGAGTACTCGCCTTTGTCATAGGGCCCAGCAAATTTCTCTAGGATAAGGTTCCGAATGGTGCCCCTAAAACACAGAGAAGGTCACTGAGGATCCTGAAACGATGGAATTTTAGGAATGTGTTAGAAAGCAAAGAAACAGTGATCTGTCTGTCCCCAGAAAACAATTTTATTCATGTTTTTAGAAGAGATTAGTATCTTATAATGCCAAAAACAAAACACCTCACTTCCCATTCCCCTACACACACACACACACACACACACACACACACACACACCACACACACCCATTCAATAAACATGCTGAGCATCACTAGACTGTCTTCATAGTTTGGCATCAGGGCCCAACGGGCACTTCAGGGTAAATTTCCCGTCATGTTTGAAGAACCTATGAAGAAGACCTCCCAAATATTTTCACCATCTTGCTGCTCTGCTTGGCTAGTTCCTTGAATTGTTAACATTTAGGGGTTTACTCTGTGCCAGACTCTGTGTTTTTAGGTTAGACAGATTTTTATGTGCTAAGCATTTTATGCGATGATGTCATTGAATTCTCTCAATATAGCTGAAGTAGGTACTATTATTATCCCCAATTAGAGATGAAAAATTTGAGCTTAAAAGTTGCATGATCTGCTCTAAGTCTCTCTTTTTAGTAGGAGGCCCAGCCTACAGTACTATCCTGCCTCTGGCATGTTTAATTTCATGCACTTTTCAACATAAATACATCAGGCTGCTGCTCATGGAGAGTACTTGAAATAAAAAGGAAAGAGGACTGAGGTGACATTCTCGTCATGCATTTAAAAACCTATCACATAATAAAAGAAGCAGAGAAAAACTACACCAGTGGGAGGGAGCGCTGTGGGAGTGGGTGGTGGGGGAAGGGTATGCATGCAGATTCTAGCTTATGGTAAGGTAGAAATTGCTAACAGAGCTTTAGCAAAGGAAGGAGATACTTAATCAAAAGGCAGGTTCTAAAAGTTCAGAGGCCTAATTACTCCATGTCAGGTTATTATAATAATAATCATACCTTTATGTTGTGAGTTGTCAGAATCAAAATGGAGTCACTTGTGTCAGACTCCAATGAAATAAATAAATAAAGCCAGGAAGCTGAGGGAGGGCTCTCACACACACATGGCTGTAAGAACTATTGTAAAGACTCTCTGAAGGGCTCTTAGGTATATATGCTTGTAACAAGAATTTTGCCAAGGACTTTTCAAGCTGCGGCTTGCAACGTGAGTCACAAAGACAGCTAGCAGGATGTACAAGAACACTTGCTTGACACAGTCTCCACTAATGAGCTGGCGTTAACTACTGCCTTGTTGCTGATTAGCACAGAGGATCCTGGTGATTAAAACGTGACACATTGTGCACAAAAACTACACCACCCCCATGATTTTGGTCAGTGTTCTCTTTGTCTCAAAACAAATAATGTACACTTTTTCCTTTTGCTTTTAAAAGCTTCCCCTTGCCTCAACCTCTTAGGATACACCTATGGTTGCTGTAGCCCACAAATTTGCAGATTCCTTGTGTGTTCCTAAATAAAATTATCTTTGGAGAATCTATCTCAGTTTGTTATTTCAGTTGACAGTATTTTTAAAGCATTTACAACTTATAAAATGCTTTTATGAACATCATGTCATTTTCAGTTTAGCCTAGATTGACCAATTATCCCAGCTTGCTGGAACAAGAGGTTTCTTGAGACGTGGGACTTTCAGTATTAAAATCAGGAAAGTCCCTGACAAATGGGAACAAGTTGGTAGTAAGGCCAGATATTCTTTTCATCTGATGCAGTGTTTCTTTAAGTGTGGTCCCCAGTCTAGTGGTATCTGCATCCCCTGGGAGTTTGTAAGAAATGCACATTCTTGGGCCCCACCTCAGAATCAGAATCTCTGGGGGTGGGTCCAGCAAGCTTCATTTTTCGATTCTGTGTGATTCTGATGCACATCCATGTTTGATAACCACCAATTTAATAAACTGAATAAACAGAAGAGATTTCTGAATAGTGGGAGGGGAGGTTGAGTTGAATGGCCTCTAAGTTTCCCTTTCAGATCTAAGACTCTATGAAGTCTGTGCCCCTGGGACAAGGGCAGATACTACTTGCGCACGTTCATACCAGGTAGCCTCGAAGTCCACATCCCTGCACTGGCGGTAGCGCCACTTGCAGTACACTTGAGTGGCGAAGCATCGGTCCTTCACCTCGGGGAGGGTGGTGAACTGGTCCTTGATGAAACCTTCGAATCCAGACTGGGTTGTTTTCAAGACCTTGAGGTCTTTGATTCCAGAATGAATAACTGGGGGTCCTGTTTCAAGTAGAAGGTCAGGAGTGGATTAGGTCGTAAACAAAACAGTGCCTTGTTGCTGATTAGTACAGAGGATCCTGGTGATTAAAACGTGACACATTGTGCACAAAAACTACACCACCCCCATGATTTTGGTCATCCTATTTCCTCTGAAGTCCAAGTGAGGAGGACAGTGTCCCTTTCTTTCCATCTGGATTCCATGACTCCCTGTCCAGTTGTGCCCTAGAAAAACTAAAGGTCTAAGAATAACTTCCGTACTGTATCGAAGGCCACAGAAATGAATACCTTTCTCTCAAGTACATGTGGGAGTGTCTTCTCAGCCAAGTCACCGTATTGTATTTTGAGCTTCATCTCCTCCAGCAGGTGATCATCCTGCAATTTGTTAATAAACTCCTTAAGAGCCATACCTCCACCTGCTACTGTGACTCCTTTACTGGGGGTAGTCCTCATGCTGATCATCTACAGTAGCTGAAGATCCCAATCTCCACTAGGCCCTGATGGCATCCTAGTTCCCTTATGGTTATCAGCTCAGCAAAACCAGGCAACTTCATAAATGGGTAGCAGCGTGGGCCTGCCTGAGCCTAAATAAGACTGTGAAGATGAAGCTGGTGACTCACAAGGGATAGATCTGCCTAGTTGATATGCATAAAGGCTTTTGTTTTTTCTGCTGAAGGAGATGGGACAAAGTTGGTTCACAAGTACCTGGGGGAGAGAGGGGAGTTGAAAACCATGGAAGGGATGATATGGCTCTCCTTCTGTCTCTGCTGCCTGTTTATAAGGTAATGGGGGAGGTGGAAGGGTGACAGGCATCATCTAAAACAGAACAGCATTAACATTACCATGACCTTATTTCTCTGCACAGGCTGGAAGGACTGGGGACATTCAGGGAGCACTTGGCAAACCCTAATAGCAAAGTGCCGTGGCATGATTCTTAAGGTCACCTCTTTTCAGTCTCTTCATTAGTTCTGACCAATATCTATCTTTCTTGGTCTGTTTAGTCTAAAAATCAAGGGTTAGAGGGGTCAGGTATCACCACACAGTCTTAGTTGAAGAACAAGAATATAATTCATGATCTTCAATTAAAATCCAATGAAGTTCTTTAAAATCCAATGGTTTACATCACCTATGTGGTTTCTATCGCTACAGTTAACTTGGGAGCTGTGGAATTTCAAAAGTAGGTAAATAAAGTCTGTATTTCTGTATTTTCTATACTTTAGTGTACACCTACCAGAGAGAACAATAGCCAGTGATTAGTGGTAGATCTGCTGATTAAATATGTCCTGATTAAAGAAGATATTCTATGCAGAGCATTCCAGAATAATACAGCAAAAACAGGAAATTATTCTTGTTCAACTTTCTGAAGCACTTATTGGAAGCTATAGCTGAAGAAGGAGCAAGAGAAAGATACCAGCAATGCCTTGCTGCCTTCGGTTGGCTGGGTTTATCAGATTTTAAATGTATAAAGTCATGATCCCACAAAATCAGCATTGCTACATGCAGTGAGTGTAAGCCTCAAACCCAGCAGAACTACAGAAGTAATCAATAAGTATCTGTTGAATGAATGAATGAGTTTAACCAAATTGATTCATGTCAAGGAATAAGTATCTCACAACTTAGTATCTTTCTTTTCTAGACAGCTCAGCCCTATCAATCTTTACCATTTCCCTTCCTGGTCCCCTCCAACTCACACACGGTGTGGCAGTGGGTGAAAGGAAGGGTGTTAACCTTAGCTAAGAACCTCCTGTCTGTAGACATGCCTTTGGTTGCTGTAGTTTTCGGTCTTTATCTTAGTTAGTCCTCAAAACTCTAGAAAGCAGATATTTTAATGCAGGTGGGCTTTTGCCCCTAGTCACATGGCTAGAAACTGTCAGAAGCGGAATTTAAACTCAGCATCACATTATGAGATCTCATGCTTTTCTTCCTGCTTTTTGGATCACTTACCATCTATGCAATATTTCTACCTTCCTTTGACCCTTTCCCCATTTGTGTTCCATAAGCAGCCTTTCTAGGAGACAAGCACACCTCCTATCCACAGTGTGCTTTGAGGACCTCAGATAGAGCCCAAGCCCTGAAAAATACCCTCTCCATTGGTCTGAAATGGAGATTTAATAATCACTTTTAGAGTTGGCTTCTGTGTATCTAAAAAACTTTATACTCCTTAAAAATTTCCTATTGAAAGCCAAAAATACATCCTTTATAGGAGTGACTCCCTAAGCCTTCGTAATATACTATGATAAACTACTTCCCATGGTAAGCCTTTCTAGAAAAAAAAATCCTATAGAAATAAAACATGGGTTTGCAATCAGGAGTAGGGCTAAAATGGGTAGTAGAAACCCTTGCAGGAGAATTGAAAGAAGGTGAAAAAGAACCAAAGGCAAACTTTACCTACATTATTTTCTTTTTATTCATCGGGCCTTGACTGCTGGCATCCATGTAAGCACATCAAACTTTGGTTTCTTCAATGGTGTTAATCATAAAAGGATTCCTAGACATAATGTTGCCTAGTGGTTGAATCTACAGCTTTGGGACTCAGATTCCTGGAACTCAAATCCCAGTGCTCTCCCTGCATCCTCAACCCCCATTTTTATAAGCTCTATGTTCCTGAGGGAATAATTTAACCTCTCTCTACCTTGATTTTGCCATCTGTAAAATGGAGACGATAATCATACCTATTTCCTAGAGCTGCTACATGTCTAAGAGAATGCACATAAAGGACTTAGTAGAATGGCTGACCTACAGGAAATGCTCTACAAACATGATGATGATGATTTTGCCATAATTGACTTTTGTATTAACTTCAACCACTTGCAAATATTTCCCATGTTTCGCAAAGTCTCACTGGGTTCTGAAAACTACTTCTAATGTGCCATCCTATCCATCTCCAGCCCTGGAATTTATTGACCTTACGGGAGTGTCAGTCCTACTAGGCCACTGTGAAATGATCTGCTTTCTCACTGGAATTTAAAATGGAGAAAGCAGTTGCATTTTAAAAATGTGTTTTGGCACCAGTTTCACACAGATAAAATGTCTCATGTTCCCCAAGACAATTAACTATTGCCACAGTTTTGGCAGAACACAAACCATCTACTTTGGTGCTCTCATCATTCTATAAAACAACAACAACAACAAAAACTATTCTCTCTGAATGTTAAAAGAATTTTTCCCTGGCACACATTAGACATGCTAGATGAAATCAGAGAGCTTATTTTATCTTCTCTGTTGGCAGTGCCCCAGCTTTCTGAACATCGGTAAGAACCTAAGGCTTTCAAAATCATGGGCCCATCAACTAAAAATATGATGCCTCACGCACCGTAAAAAAGATTCCCATTTAGACTAACAAGAAGTAATTCAAAAAGACCATCCTTTTCTAGGTTACGCCCCATGAAATCACTTAATCAGCTTTTTTGTTTTTTTCTGCCATGGTTATGGAGTAATGCAAAAGAAAGATTTTTCACATTTCACTTTGCTAGAACATAATCTTTTCTAGCTTTTAGTGTCCTCCTACACACTTAGCAAATTGTGGCTTATCTCTCAGAGACGCATACATCCTACCTTTTAGCTATCTAAGGGAAAGTACCTCACTGCAAATTAATAGAAAATAAGCCCAATTCCTTACCTACGCATCAGGTGTCACAAGGCACAAAGCTTTATTGAGCCAAGAAAAAGATCAGATCTTGTCATAAGAAGATAATTGCTTCCACATTTAACACCTCCAAAAAGGACACAAATAGCTGAAAGGGGGATATTTTAAAACCATATTAAATCATTCTAGTAGAAAATCTTGAACTTGTAAAGTGCCAGAAAAAGTAAAGATTAATTAAATATTTGCCTTGGAGAGTTTATTTAGCTCATGCAGGGAGAGTGAAAGCTCTCTCTGCAATTCTGGATGGAAAGAGACGACATCATCCAGATGGTAGGAAATTAATTGGGCTTTTGTACAACGAGGTGATGATCAGGAAGATTTTAAAAGACCACAAGTCTGCCAGGAACTTTTCTTACAGAGGAACTGAAAAGCACTTTAGTCTTGATATCGAAAGGACACAACAGATGTTTTGGCAGTAGCCATCTCTGTCCTGGATCTTCCACTTCTTCCATCTTACTTCTTCTATCTGCCCATCTTGTCACCTCTTAAATCTGTTCTCCTTCAGGACAGATTTCATCGGCTGCCTTCCTTACAACTATTCCCCTACCCTTACTAGCCTTCATGTCAACAGTTGTATAGGAAGTATTTTTCACTACCAGAAGACACAATCTAGCATTTGAGGTCTCTTCTCCATCTTCCATTCCTCTATTTAGCAATGCTTCAGCTGAATTTCATAATTAGTGTCAAGTGGGAGAAATCTGATGCTAAAAAACTGTGACTTATAATTCAAATAGTGCAGAGGTTTGGGGGTTGATTTAGTTCAAATTAGTGACTCAATCATACCAATGACTTCAAAGCTCCATTAAGCTTGTAGTTCCTCACTGATACATGACAGAAAGAGTTCCAAAGATTCAATTCCATATGATACCTAAACCAACAACCTGCATCATACACGTAGGGCCTAGTTCTTTTCTCAGGGCTTGAGAAGCCACAAATATAACACCAGCCCTCATTCCTTTGGGTGAACAAATTTCTTTCTCTCTTCCAGATTCTTCCATGAAATCAGCCGGCTTTGAAACGACTAAAATACAGCCTAGTTATGTAGCTGTAAAAGATCCACTAAGAAGAAACCATGTAACGGGAGCAATTCCCAGGGTTTAAAGTGGTGTTTTAGGTTCAGTAGGAGTTCTAGAAACGTTTGTTCAGTTGCTACGTAAGAATGAATAGAGTCCATTGGGAGAAACCCAGTCACACCTGCAGCTGGTAAGAGTCCTTTTGGAGGTGGCATGACTGAACGCGTGATTAAGCACATGTGTTTGAAGGGGCAGAAGTCTTAACATCCTAGCAAGTCCCCCAGCAAAGGCACTACTCAGGTGTTCCTTTTCTAACAACAGCCTTCACCATGTGAATTTGAGTG